TTTGATTTTTATGCATAGATCAAGGATCAATGAATTACATGCTTATAAATTTAGGGTCCCACAATACATTATGAAACGATACGATACATATCTCGATACTCAGGTCACGATAAGAGCAAAGATATGATACATAATAGTGTGGTTGAACGGGGGGGGGGGGGGGGGGGGGGGGGTATCAAGTATCAAGCCTACCAGTTCTGTAAGCCAATAGTAGTCATGCATATTTTGCAATTTCTTTTGAAGTCTGGCTGTGCTTTCCCCTTTACTGAGGATTTTTCTTGACTGACAATCCGCTAATCATTCTGTTCGTATTTATACAACATTTTGGGTGCGTCATGTCCAGTGAGCAACCAAACAAAAAATATAAAAACAATCTCTCAAAAAGTCAAATATTCAGTAGATTTTGGCTAAATATGATGGATTTCGAGTATGTTAACAATATTTTTGGTGTATCAATATTTGACTCTTCGTATCGTTATACTCGTATCGTCACCAAACGAGCCGATGCATTGATATATTGATGAATCGCGAGACCCCTATTATAAATAGATGTGTGTGACAACTTGATTTTTAAATAAAAGTCAAAGTCACCTATTGTATTTTGATAATATTGGGTAAGGCAACAATATAAGCAAATATCGTTTCAACTCTACATAGGGCCTTTAAAGGCTAAAAACCCAGGACTCCATGATTTATGAAATGATTTATTGCATAGTTCCTGTAAACTGGATATTAAGCTTAACTAAGACTGGGAGCATACAAGAAAGAAATTCTATATGAGAAATATATGTGTTATTGTTTCAAAATATATATTAATAGATTTTTCAATGAAGAATGGTATAGAACTCAAATCGACCCTTAATATACAATGAATAGCCATTTGTTGTTTTATTCATAATGATGCAAGTACAAGACTTCCTAGTTGTTCAATAGACACTGCTATATGGTAAATGTAGTTACCATGGTTACTAAACTAGACAGTCTATCAGATAATTTCTACAGAATTTTCTGCAGTAAAAAATGATTTTCAATGAAATGAAGTAAACCAGCCTCATGTGTTTAATTAAAACTATATCCGTGGCAATATTATTTTCTTGGAAGCATACATACATATATAATACTTTGTATCGCCAAGTGGTATACCATATTCCCTCCTATATACGCACAATGCATCTCCCAAGAAGAAGCCTCGAATTAAATAATCCCCAGAGATTTTTGAATGATAAATATATGGCCAAGTATTAGTGTATTTAATTAATTTCCTCATTTAAAATGTTTGTTTTTGCTGGAAAAGATATATGTAGAAATATTTCTGGATCTGAAACTTCCATGGCACACTACGAGTGTCTAATGTTGACCGATATTGCAATGGTCAGAATTAACATTCATTATAGCTTTTAACTCATCACTTTAAGGCTATCATGAATGAGTTTATTATATAGTTTACATGTAATAATAAGTATATCTGTTGCAGCACAGAAATGGCTCGATCAATTGCAGGAAATGAATAAATCCTATTGGCGCCCAATTATTTGTTTTAGAATTTTTTTATTGTAACTCAAGTTAACCATTTCTGCATACACATTTCTTGATATACAGGTTGCCATAGGAGCCCTTGATTAAATCTATAAATCTATGAAAGATATATTCTCTGAAAGTTTATCTATGATATCAGTAACTAAAAATGCTTTAATTAGAAAGATACCAAGCCCTGATAACAGATCAAGTTTTCAAAGTCAGAAACACTTTGGCAAAGTCTTGTTAAGTCTTGTTAAGTCTTGCCCAAGTCGGTATTATATCTTTTAATTATCTTGATGTTCATTTAATATACTGCCTTGTGGCATCCCTTCCATCTCCACTGATATTATGAAAGGCTATTCAACGATTTCGAGAATTCCATAAATCCTTCGTATTTGTTAAGGCTATCACAAATTTGTATTTATAGGCAAGATGACCTTGTGACCAGTACATGTGTTGATAATCGTATTGACCATACTCCATGGCAGTGTGAGTCTTTAACATATCAATACTGAGACAGTTTGATGCGTGACTTCAGGTTGATTGACCAATCAAAAAGCATCTCAAAACGTTATCACTGGTCACTTTAAAATTATCAATGATTTGATTGAGTATTTCTTCCAAGTTACCATATATTCTGCAATTTAAAGGATAGGTATCGATATGGTGAAATGAATTCAAAAATGTTTTTCTCTTCAACCAATTATTGAAAACATTCTTTAAAAAACACGGTCCTTAATGTAATGTTGACTGATTGGCAACAATTTAATGCAAAAATTATCTATATATATTTTATATAACTGTTTTTGTTAACTTTTTTTGTTTTTTAGTTCAATTGTTTTTTGTTCCTTTCTACCAATTCTTGAGAATGAAATGAGATGTCTTTCCGAACCTTGTTGGAACAAAATAGCATATACATGTACAACATTTTCTTAGACCTCTCAATATTACAGTTATACAAAAGAAATGTTGGTTGATTTAACAAAAAATATCCAAAAAACTTGAAACAAAACCCCCCAAAATAGATAAAATTAAGATAACCCTTTTATTTCATTAACAAGATACTTTTTTAAAATCAACCAAACTTTCCTTTGTACAATTGCAATATTGAGAGACCTAAACACATTGTGTTTATGTCGTTTTGTTCCAATGAGGTTCAGATAGATGTTTCATTTCATTCCGAACATATGATACCAAGAACAAAAAAAGAAGTGTCTGATGTGTTTTCTAAAACAATATAGAGAAAAGGATAGATATATGTTTCAAATGATAATGTTACCATCCAAAAGATGACCATTAAATTGACGATGTGTAAAATTTTCAGAATGTTTTGATGACTGGTTTAAGAGAAGCGCATGTTCAAAAAGTTCACCACATCGATACCACTCCTTTATATTGGAATGTAAGCAGTCATTAAAATGAATTAAACCATGCAATTATATATTAATTCAAAACTGAATTCACAATGGAAATGCACAAAGATCTGGTCTTGATCTGGAGCTAAGCCAGGTCTAGAGTTACCCTTTGCATTCGTTTGACTTCACTTCTTAAAAGAGAGACTCGTCATCACTCTTTCAAACTAAAATGAACCTGTGAACTCACCGCGCCAATCAGTGTTCGTCGGCCAAATTTGACCGACGTTCTATATATGGTCATTCCTTCTGACGTCATCGCTGAGCCCGGAATTGACCAATGACATGCGCATATTTAATTAGAACGCATTTGGCGTATGTTTCTTAAAGCTCGCTGATTAGTGAAAGAAAGGTCAGCTCTTAGGTCAGAAGTGATTTATTTCCCAAACTGTCACGGTTACCTGTCGTGGGGGCGGGGCTACTAAACTGTAATATGGTCTCTACTAGGCAGAGTGTAGTTTAACTAGACTCTGCACGCAGGGTAGTCTAGAGTGGGATCTAGAGTCATATTTGATTATTTCAGTGACCTTTTATAATTTTTCTTATTGAAATCATCTCAGCTGCGGGTATTCAATTGATGCTCTTGCAACTACTAAACTCTGGTTGTCATATTGTCAATGACATTATGGTTGCTGATGGCTAACTTAGTATCTCAAGTGGGTGTATTATCTCAAAAAGTATCATGAAATACATAATCTACGAGGATTCAATTATAAGACAAACATGTAGAAGTTTTCTATTGTCCTTTATTTATGGGAATATCACCTTAGAGCCTAGAAGCAGCAGCTAAAGAATAGGTTCAGTCCAAAACCTTTCTCCATCCTTAATAGTCATTGAACTACTGGGAAGATGGATTACAATTAACTCAGATGCAAGGATTGTCACTAATCTCTTCTTTGTTCTAAAAAATCTCAGAGATTAAGACCAGTCATTATACTGATACATCTTTATTTCCCCTCATAGTTCTAATATTCTAGGATAAATACTGAACAATAGATAATCCTTTTCAGGGGCTTCAATGATATCCCCAGCATTGAGCAAGTGGGCGCAGCACCCACCTCAGATTTTAAAAAACAGGCTTGCACCCACTTGAAAATGAGAGTGCTTGCAATTGTGAGAGTTTCAGTGTGAATTGTGAAAATGAGAAATTTGCACCCACTTGAGAAAAAATCCTGGGGAGAGCACTGGGCTTTTATTGACATAATAACGACACTGATTTTCATTTGTAACTATTAATATGCAGGGAGCATCGCTGGACTATGACAATATTACCGTGGGGATGCGAGATTAAAGATGTGCATGTCTCCTGCTACCTAAGCTTCTTGTAACTAGAGACTAATCTCGTTGTTATAGAGAGACAACGGGTCCAATCAATAATGCCTTGCTTATTTGACACCCGCCTTATTCCTCATTTAAAACCTTTTCCATGACAGATAAAAAAAAACATATGTGCCTCCCTTGCAGATATGAAGAAATGCGAGCTTATTTCATAGAACATTATAAATTAAACATGTCTCCCAATTCTGAATAATATAAAGTACCCGGACCTTGTATCTATAAATATATGCATATCAAGTGATATATCAAATATGTCAAAATAAAGTCAATGGCGGTTTCGTTTCGAAATTCATTTATTTATTTCCAATAATGTAATGAAAAAAATATATGTTGAGGTGGCAGCTTATTAGGTTTTGTTATCCACATAATTCATAGTTTTTTTATCTGTTTTTTAAATTCTTCAAACTTAGATAGGATATTTGTTGAAATACGGTAGCTATGGAATACATCTGTTATGCAAAGTCAGTTTAAGATATGGGATTTATCCCTTTAGGATATGCTCTGTGTCCAAAACCTCCCAGTACAGTACATATGACTTATTATCGTCACCGCCACAAGTGGTGACATATTTTTTATTGTCTCTAACTTTTTGTGGATAGTGTTTGGGCGTTTGTGTTCAGCATTTGGCATCAATGACAAATGGCAGGCAGTGGCATTTTCCAAGTTAATGCCTTGTATATAAACATACTTAGAGACATTTTCATATTCAGCTTTATTCTTCTCTATTTTCAGATAACCGCAAGCACAAAGTTTTGACAGAAGACTATGATACAGCCACACAGTCTTACAAAGTCCAGCATGTGCAGGAAAAGACAGGTAAATATTTTTTCCACATTTTACAAGCATAATAAGTTTATAATGTCTAATCATTCATTAAATGATGACGCTGTGGTGATACATTATAGGAACATATAGATCATATGAACCTATCATTCAGGATTGCTAAATTCATGAGGTGAATATTCGATGAATGTAATAAGCTTTCCTCACCATATAAATATAAACGCAATATAAATGTCATATAAATGCCATATTCTGTCATATATGTCAAATTCTGTCAAATTGTTCATCAATATTTAATTATAATGCAGACCCAAAATAGTCAATTATTCTGGATTATATCCAGTGTGGCTTGTAAGCATGTCAATGTTGATATGAACCCACTGAGCAGGTACTATCCATACAAAGATGTGACTGTAAAGCTGACATAACTTGGACTTACACTGATATCTAACATTGCATGATGTAAGAGTTCAACCTGGGTGTATTGTAACAGGTGTGCCTGGGTATAGCTACAATTGCATTGTAGCTGCATTTGAATAACATTGCAGTATAGCTACTATAGCATCATAGCTGCATTTGAATAACATTGCAGTATAGCTACTATAGCATCATAGCTGCATTTGAATAACATTGCAGATGTGCCTGGGTATAGCTACAATTGCATTGTAGCTGCATTTGAATAACATTGCAGTATAGCTACTATAGCATCATAGCTGCATTTGAATAACATTGCAGATGTGCCTGGGTATAGCTACAATTGCATTGTAGCTGCATTTGAATAACATTGCAGTATAGCTACTATAGCATCATAGCTGCATTTGAATAACATTGCAGATGTGCCTGGGTATAGCTACAATTGCATTGTAGCTGCATTTGAATAACATTGCAGTATAGCTACTATAGCATCATAGCTGCATTTGAATAACATTGCAGATATGCCTGGGTATAGCTACAATTGCATTGTAGCTGCATTTGAATAACATTGCAGATGTGTCTGGGTATAGCTACTATTGCATTGTAGCTGCATTTGAATAACATTGCAGATGTGTCTGGGTATGTCTACTATTGCATCGTAGCTGCATTTGAATAACATTGCAGATGTGTCTGGGTATGTCTACTATTGCATCGTAGCTGCATTTGAATAACATTGTAGATGTGTCTGGGTATAGCTACTATTGCATTGTAGCTGCATTTGAATAACATTGCACATGTGTATGGATATAGCATTGCAGTTAAGAACATAACAGGTTGACTGATTATAACATTGCAGCTCAACTTGGGTACAATATGGGAGCTAAATTTGGGTATAACATTAATATTATATGGCTAAAATTGGACATAGTGTTGTGCATTAATCTTGACGACTGTGTCCTTTCCAGATTTAAAGACATACTTCATCACAGGGCGTAAGAATCGCCAAGATTCCTCCAATCAGGATCTGCGATCAGTTACAGACACACCCCCTACTGAGCCAAAACATAAAAAAGAGAAAGAACCAGTTGCAGAGTCTGGTGAAGTTGCTGTAGAAATTCCATCGGTAGGTCCATTGATACATTCACTACCTTGCAATAAACCTCTCTCAAGTAGTGGGATTCAATGACATGGGTTATTTGCTTGTTGTCAACAGTGATTACATCATGTTCACACATTGTATCCAGATTGCTAAACCTGGTTTCTAGCATTAAAGACATTAATTAGTAGTAGCCAGTCAATTTCAAAATGTGTCTACGTGAAACACCTTTGGAACCTCTAAAAATGTTCCACTTGGGAGGTGTTCCACTTATAGAGGTTCATTTAACATTAAGTCAGTTGGTCTTGAGAGTCTGAAAAGTGTTCCACTAACAGAGGTGTTCCTCTTCTAGAGGTCACTGTACTTTGAAAATTGGCAAAGATCTTCATTTCAAATCAAGAACATGTCTAGTCTACATACGTATAATTGATATTTCTGAATGGAAGTTTTACATCATAAACATGAAACTGATCTATTTAACATAATACATCTTAAGTTTTCTCTTAGGGTTGTGTACAGTTGATCAAGTTTGAAAATGTATTTGTTGTTGTATATCAATAATTGTTAACCTCTGTTATTCTAGGATTCTGGGGATTTGGAGAGAAAGGACAGCTTGAGGAAGGGCATGATGAAAAATCACCTTGAACCACAGGTTAACAAAACTTACTTTATTTTAATTCTATGTACAGGGTGTTTCATAATGACATCCCCCCCAATCCACAGCCAGTCCTAGATCACATGGCCCCATAATCTATATATCATAAAAAAGCTTATTGAATGTTGGACTCATTGGCCTGGCATGTTGATCATTGGGAATGTAATTTGTGAACTTATGTTTTGTTGTCACCATTACCCTAATTTGGTCAATTTATGACTGGCATTTATAATTGATATAGAGAAGATAAGAAGATGTATAATTCATTGTATCATTTATAGCTATCTGGGTAGTTTAAGATATTTTTTTTAAATTCTTTCAAATATCATTAAAATATTTCCTCAGCATCCATAAAATACTATAATTGTTACATTACTAATTTACTATAGGTAATAGCTGAGCCTTGGTTATGTGTATTTTCTTTTGAAAATTGTTTAAAGATGGCGTGAGTGTTTTACCAATATGTGATCACTTTTGTTTCTGATTACTGCAGACCCTTTTAACAAGGTACACTGCTTATTTCTTAGAGATTAATGTGGCTGTTCGATTATATGCCATAGATCAAATGAGCACCTTTTTGTAGCGATATGAGCTAAATCAAAGTTAGCTTCGATAAGTCCAGAATTGAACAAACAATGGAGGTATGCCATCTATAGCATTGGTGATTGATGGGGGATGGTCATTATGAAACACCCTGTATACTATACACTTGGAGACTTTTATAGTTTAGTTTACCTGAAGTCTAACACGTCAAGATAATCATATATTAGTTGAAAAACTATTTACAACAGCATATTTGAAGCCTTGTGATATACAGACTCTGCACAATATTTTCTGTATTTGGCTTAATCCATAAATAACTTGAAATGTTGTATTGTCGAGCTGTAACTTTGTAGAGCAGTTTCTCTTTACACTTGGGATAAAGATTGTATCCAAAACCTTCCAGTGCATAACCCTTATATATCTTTTGTGTTGTATTTTCCAGCAGGAGGCACTGAATGGCATGTCACCAACAGCCCTACTGCACAGAAGGGGAAGTGGACTCTATACTGCCGAACTTGCCCTGGATGAAACAACAGAAAAAGGTACCCTGGTTCTAATAGTAACATTTCATTCACTGGATTCTCTTACTTTGTTTTTAAGGTCTCAATTGTGAAACATTGTGCTGGGTGTTTGAAAAATGGTCAGCACCATCTATCCTCCATCCCATGGAGTGTTAATTGAAATGTAATTACAGCAGTGCAAATCATTTCCTCTTATGCTAGCCCATCGTTTTGAAAGCATCCAGTAAAATATGAAGTTAAAATAAGTTCTCATTGGGTTATCAAGGCTTTACATATACCATCCCAGGACCATGTTTTGGTGGCAATGTCTCTAAGGCGGCGTCCAACACTGTGTCTCTTTGTATGGTCATTCAAACCACCCTGCTCCACTGGGTAGAGGAATTCCAGTGCAGTACAGATCTTGCCAGGCAGAACCTAGAAACATCAATCAAATCATATAAACCAAATCTAAACAAAAGTATTTTATCTTATTTTTTGTTTCGTATTCAAGTATTCTATTCACTGCAAATTTTGAAAAATAAAGTAAATCAAAACTGGAACTTAATCTAGTGAAATTTATGAAATTCAATCCGAATTAACAAACTGAACCGGCTGCTTCAACCATGACCAGTACATGTTAAGCTTTGCACTGGAAGAAAATAGTATTGTAGTATTTCGAAATAGACTTAAAAACTTAATTTCAAAAAACTGTATTCTAGTCTCAACCATAGTTGTAATACTGAGTGCTTGTTTGTTTCCAACATGTTTCTCTCTATTCCTTTCCAAACATAATTTGTAATGTGACTCTGTGATATGATCTGTCACAGTAGTATACTTAACTTAAACGTGTATGGAAATATAATTTAGCAAATATCGAAGCACTTAATCAAGACATAGAGGATATTGACTGGAATGAATTTTTTAATCAGTTTGAAGATGTAAATATTTTGACTGAAGTGTTTACAAATAAAATGATGGCATTGTTTACATTGCACATTCCAAGCAAACTCAAAAAAGTAAAAGCCAACGATAAACCCTGGTATAATGAGATAATTGCTCATGCTATTCAAAAAAAGAAAAAATTATTTTTGAAGTTTAAGTTAAGCAACTCAGAGCAACACTATATGGCTTATAAGGCCCAAGCTGAAGTTGTTAAAAATCTCGTAATATCTACCAAGGAAAATTTTACAAATGAACAGGTTGACTCATTGAATGGCGAGACTCATGCCAATGACAAATTTTGGGTACTTATCAAAAAACTTTTAGGCAAAAAATTTAATAGTCAAATTCCGACATTGGAACAGTCAGGCATAATCTTCAGTTCTAGTCAAGAGAAATCTGATGCCTTTCTTAACTTCTTTGTTGAAAAAAATCATTCAAATGAAAATTTTGACCACTTTGACACTCCATTTCCTCAGAGGTGCGATAATCTGTTAAGTGATATTACATTTGATAGACAGGATATTACTAACATAATAAATAATCTTGACCCTTCCAAGGCCAATGGCCCTGATGAAATCACCATCAAAATGCTCCAAATATGCTCAAATTCAATTTCATTTCCTCTCTACATTTTATTCAATAAACTTTTACAGGCAAACACTTTTCCTCAAATTTGGAAACTTGGGAATGTTTGCCCTATACATAAAAAGATAGCAAAAATAATCTTAACAATTACAGACCTATCTCTCTCCTTAGCATTGTTTCCAAAATCATTGAAAGGATAGTCTATGATAAAATGTACAAGCACCTTATTGAAAACAATCTACTTTACAAATATCAATCCGGATTTTTGAAGGGTCATTGCAATGAAATCCAACTTCTAGCGATTCATGATTTTATTTGGACAAATTTTAGTAATGGCTTCGATACTAGGTCGGTCTTTTTGGACATTTCGGCCGCTTTTGATAGGGTACCACACCATCTGTTAATACATAAGCTGAAAGCATATGGCTTTTCAGGAAAGCTCTTGAATTTTATTATTTCATACCTCTCAAATAGAAAAATAAAGGTCACAGTAAATGGTAAATCATCTCAAACATCCCCGGACAACTATATAAACTGCAGTGTCCCTCAAGGAAGTATCCTTGGGCCACTCCTCTTCCTTATATACATTAATGACCTGCCTGATACTTTATCTTCAAAATGCTTCATATACGCCGATGACACGTCAATATTTTTGCCAACAAGCCCAAATGACAACCTATCTCATATTCAACTCCAAAATGATATTCAAAAGGTAGAAAAATGGTCTGACATCTGGAAACTTGAATTTAAGCCAGAAAAAAGCAAAGAGTTGATTTTTTCTAAAAATAATAATGCAAATAATTATCCTCCAATTATGTTAAATGGCCACGCAATCACAAGAACTGACACCCACAAACATCTTGGCTACTACTTTGACAATAAGCTATGTGGATCAGTTCACATCAACTATTTAGCCTCTAAGATCCAGACAGCACTTAATCCAATGAAAGCTCTGAAAGGAAGACTGATGTCCAAACATCTCAATATCATGTATAATGCCTATATCCAGTCACTCTTTGACTACTGTGATGTTCTATATGATGGTGCAAACCAAATTGACCTAAAAAAGCTTAGTAGTTTACAGTACCAAGCTGGTCTAATTGTGTCTGGAGCTCTGTCAGGATCAAGTGCCTGTAAAGTATTCAAAATTTTAAATTGGTCTTGCTTACTTGATCGTAGAAATTTTCATTTTAAGAGTCTTATGTATAAAGTCGACAATGCCCTCATTCCATCATATATAACAGACATATTCATTCCTTATAAAAGAGTCAATATTAGAAATACGCGTTTTAACAGAGACTATATCATGCCTATTAATTATCCCAGAAAATCACCAATATACAAGATGGTCGAGATATGGAACAATGTACAACGTGATCAGCCTTATCTGAAGTCCCTTCCTTCATTGGCCTCCTTTAAAAGGAGACTAAGAATCGAAATGTTCCCTGGGATTATATCTACTGTGTCCCTTAATATTCTAAATCGCAGGCAAGAGATGTACCTCAACAGAGCCAGAGTCGACCTTATTTTGAAGACCCAATTGATATCTCACAACTGGAATAATGTTGACTCCCCAAACTGTGAGTGTGGGTCCCCTGAGACCTTTAGACATTTATTTTTTAGCTGCCCCATGAGAATGAATAAACTCCATCAATTCAATGAAGCCATTGAGTTAATTGTGGATGATATATCACGTTATAAAACCCAACAGGATAAAATTGATTTATATCTCTTTGGTGATCCCGAACTCACCCATGATAAATTAGACAAACTATTTCAGTTGACAGCAACATTTCTTTTAGAAAACTGTTAATGGTTGTGCATGGTTGTACATAATCTGACTACCTTAGACCCCACTTACTCAACCCCTATGTGTAATTGGTCGCCCCATCTATGTTGCAGCAGGTCCCCGTCAGTACACTTCATTTATAACATGCCACATCTAAACAGTGGGTGTGTTTTATTTTTCTTGAATTTTTCGTATATTTATATGTAACATTGTAATTGAAAGCGGACATAAAATGCCAGAAGGCGATTTGCCGCATGATTGTGTACTATGCCATGAAAAATATATCAATGAAATAAACCTATTGTTTAAAAAAAAAAAAAACAGTAGTATACCTCTACTAGATGCTGTCCATGCATAGCTTTGAATTGACCCCCAGCTACTGCTGTGATATGCATTTGTTCCTCCAGCTCAGGGTCCAGTTGTTTCACTGTATCCAGTACATCTAGTAGACCAGAATGGGCTGCCAGGAGGGGAAGCACACCTGCAGACATGGCCTCTACAGACACCATACCTGCAATGTAGCAACATGCCAATGATGCTTATTGCTTTAAATTCTTGCCTTGAGTCTGTTTTTATATGCATTATATTTGAATATGTCTGTAATGCCTTTGCGCGATTGACATTAAAATATTTTTTTATATGCATTTATCAATTCGACAAAATTTAAAATCTTAAGGCTGCCAAAATGCTCTGAACAATGGGCTGCCATGATGTGTATGCAACCTTCCAATGGCATCTGAACTATTGGCTGTCAACATATCAATTTGAACCTCCCAAAATGTATGTGGATTGTGGTACCTACCAAAATGTATGGGGTACCTACCAAAATGTATGGGGTACTTACCAAAATATATGGGGTACCTACCAAATTATATGGGGTACCTACCAAAATGTATGGGGTACCTACCAAAATGTATGGGGTACTTACCAAAATATATGGGGTACCTACCAAATTATATGTGATACCTACCAAAATGTATGTGGTACCTACCAAATGCCTCTGGGCCTTTGGGTGCCATGATTGCTATGTCAGCTAGGGGCAGCAACCAGTGCAGCTCATCATGGTTTAGATATCCAGTCACCAATATTTTTTCCAAAATATCAACACCATTATGCCCATTTGTTTCCTTGTCGCAGGTGTTTTTTCCTTGTCTATTGAGCTGTGAAGTTTGGAGAACGCTTCGACCATCCTTATTGCTGAGAGTACGAGGAAAATATTGCCTCACATCAATCCCTTGTTCCAAGAAGGTAACCCCCTGATCATTAGGGCTCAGAGCAGCTGATTCAAATAATGCTATATCATCATGTTTAAGTGCATAGATCATTGTCTCCAGGTGTTCTCTGTATTCACCAAATCCTACAAGAATTAATTTAGCTCTGTGATATCTCTTTGTTACTTGTAACCATGACAACAGAATCTCAGCCACACCTTTGAATGGCATCATCATTCCAAAGTATATAATTATGGGATCTTCCAGTTGTAAATCGGGAATTCTTTCCAAGAGATCAGAATCACATACCCGAATATTATAACCAGTTCCAAGTTTTTTCAGTTCATTGTGGATGTTTTTCTCAGCTGCAGGATAGGAAATAATAGCTGCATTTCTCCCTTTGTACTCTTCAGTTTGGATATGATTTTTTATTGTTGCCCTGAATTCTTGCAAACTCTCGTGCATGTTTGTTGATGGGATGAATAAATCTGGGTCCATGCCTGGTGGGATGATTATCAGTTTATCATTGAGTTGAAGATAATCATCTTCAAATATGCCTTTCAGTTGTTGAACAACATGATGTGTTCCTGCAATTATGTGGCTACATTCTCTGAAAGCTTCAATGGCATAAGGTTTGAACTTTGGGAATGGCTGTAGTGTGAATACTAAAGCACTCCCATGGATTTTGATTTTAAATGGGACATTTAAGCCCTCAACTGCTCGTTTAACATTGACAGGAGAAAGCAGTGCGTGATTGGCTATTATTTGATCACACCCCCATAAGTTGATGCCTCTACGTATAGCCTCAGACATCTTCCTAATATGTGCTTCAATTTCATCAGTTGTGCATTGAGGAATGGTCTTGACAGTGTAGCCAGGGTATTTGTCATAGTTGTAGACAGGCAGCAGACCCCCAATGTCTGGCACTACCACCCTCACCTTGCCTAGTGAGATCCTCGCTTCGGGGAGACACTCCTGACAAAATAACAAAGCGCCAATTAGCAAAATATGTTATATTTGTAAAATAACATTACTGTTAAGTCAAACACCATTAATTCGACATCACTGCAAATATTTGTATTTGGAATATTCAGTAGATGAATTTAATTTGACTCTTCTGTAAAGCTGGTCACTAAATAGAGGCTTTCGTGATTATTTTAGAAGTAATATTAGAACCCTGAGGCCCTATGAAATAAATTGAATGTTCTCAAGAAAACATGAAAGATGTATCATACAATTTAATAATTGATAGATTTAATTCTAATATAGCTTTGTGTCAAACATAATTCTCTTATTGAGATATTATAAGGGTGCCATCTTTAAATGGAAACATAAACTAAATGATGTGCAATCTAAGTTAACCTGACCGCATCAGTGAGTTAGAGTTCAAGTGAAATAGATGCCCAATTACCTGTTCCTATAAAATTACCATATTGATATGCATGTATAATTGTGACCTCAAACTCTAACATGAAACCCTTTCAGAAAATATCTAATTATCTATGCAATATCTGAAAAACCTAATTATTACCACCTTACCTAGTGCTAGTTTAGAAGGCTCATATTTTACTATATTGACGTCATAGTGGGGAATCACTCAAAATTCTTTAATAGTTAATATGCTTATTTTTGGAATCTCATTGTAAAGTTTCAAGACATTTCAGAATTTGGCATGCATCTCATAAAAGCCTAATACAGATGATATTTTCAAAATAGTAATTTTATAATATGTTAAAGATGAAATGTGATGAATGTCGTGAAGTATGTTATGTACTGGACCTGCCACGCCATATTTGTAATGGTGAGGCCTTGGAAAATATAGATGGCATGATTCAATGTGACTTTGTTATGGAATGTTCGATATAGTACATGTATATTCATGCTGTGTTAAAAATGAATAACGGTATGAATGATACATATAATGTTTGAGCCTAAGCAGTTTATTATCATATGGTAAGTACAGTGCGACATTTACAATAATATAAAAAAGAATTTCCTTACATTTGGTCCAATGAAATCATCTACCCAGGGGTATAGCTTAGCCTGGGGGTCCTGACAATACACAGTAACAGCATGTCCCTGAGCCTTCCATGTCTTTGCCAAGTTACAGGAGTAAATGTTTGAGCCTGGCCCTCTTAGGAGGTAACCATGCACCAGTATGATGTGCTGTTTGCTGTCCTCCATAACAGTGGCTCTCTCAGCAGCTTTGTAGAGTTGGACACTTGGCTGTCTAGATGATCTCACTACCTATTTTATGTATATGCTTCTTGCAAATACCTGTCTGATTAAATGCTAATCTTCTTTGTAATTAATATGATGCAGATGGCAACCTGCTTTATAGCCACATTAGAGTCACATGATTCATATAAAATTAGAATAAAGGTCAAGACAACAGCGCTTTCATTGGTATGAAAATGGTTCACTGGAGGACAAGACGCTTTATTGCAACAATTTTTTATATTCTGTTAAATAGTGCATTCAAGTCCACTTCCTTATTAATTTTGAATATTTGTGCTTCTTTTCAGATATGCCAGCATATTGTTTTGTGTTTAAAGGAATAGAAATACTGCTATGTACATTAAAACCTCTCAACTTGAAAAACTTGATAAAATCACTGAATATGTCTTTAACTAGAAAACCACTATAAACTGAAACAGTGAACATTTAATTAATTTAGCATCACTTGTATTGATATTTTAAATGAAACAACTAAAAAATAGTTTTTTACCCAAAAATCTGGCAAATATCCACTGTCGACATGTTACATTTTGAATAATTTTCCATCTTTAAACACTCATAACTCAAACAATATTTGCCTATTATACTTTTTTCGTCTTGATAAAGGTAGATGAAAGTGTTATTTCAAAGGATGAATTCTAGTAAGTGTCCCATATTGTGACGTCATATAGTTTGAAAAATAGAATCTGTCGACAGCGACCTTTTTTGCTCATTTTTTGTTACCTTCAACTTTTCAGGTGTACCTTAAACAAAAAATTTGAAACCAATTTCTAATAAATCATACATGATTATTTTGCTCATAAACTGTAGTTTATTAATAAATAGTTGATTTTGTTCTCAAACATGTGTGTTTTCTCCTGTATGTGGAAAAGGGGAGGATGAAAGGTTTTCAAAAATCATTAAAATAGGTGAATTTAGGCCATTCACCTATTTTCAAACATAGCAACACATATATTTATTTCACCTAGAATATCAATTGATTTGTGTTTTATGATGCTCCTAAGACATTGTTAATATGTATAAGATATCAGAGTTTTTCGTATTAAATATTTTGAGATTTAGAGGTAAATGTGGAGGATTTTTTCTCAAAAACGTCACATTCTGTCTCGTTTAAAAGCGAAAATGTGTAACAATTTGTGTGCGAACTATTTGCGACGTGTCTATACTTTGTTTAATGTTATACGAAAAAGTGACATATTGTTATATCCACCATTTGTTAAGCAGGCATTCAGCTTGCACCTGAGCTGGGTGTCAACATCTGTAACAGATTGTTATCCCATCGAACGAAGTTCGGAGGGATATAGGGAACGCCTCCCTCCGTCCGTCCGTCCGTCCGTCCGTCCGTACGTACGTCCGTCCGTCCGGGCAATAACTCAAATACCGTTGGACCGATTTTGTTCATATTTTGTACACATATACCCTATGGAGGTAGAAGTTCTGCTCGAAAGCCGATTTTCAAAATGGCCACTCATTTCAAAATGGCGGCCATTTTAGTGACGATTTTACAGTAATTTAGGTGCAATATGTAAAACTGTAATAGCAATATGTTTTAAATGTAAAAAAATTATAAAAGACATTAATAATGCTACAAATGTAGATATTAAAGAAGCCAATGGCAGCCATCTTGAAAAATGGCGGCCTTTACTCGTCATTTTTACGATTTTGGCTGTAACTCAAAAAATAGTGGAGCGATTTTGTTCATATTTGGTATGTGAATACTATAAGCATTGCACACTGCCTTAAGACACTTTTGGTAGAAGGCGGCCATTTTTAAAAATGGCCGCCATTTTAACACATTTTACTATAACTCGAAAAGTAGTGGAGCGATTTTGTTCATATTTGGTATGTGAATACTATAAGCATGGCACACTGTCCTATGACACTTTTGGTAGAAGGCGGCCATTTTGAAAAATGGCCGCCATTTTAACGCATTTTACTATAACTCGAAAAATAGTGGAGCGATTTTGTATATTTGGTATGTGAATACTGTAAGCATGGCACACTGTCCTATGACACTTTTGGGAGAAGGCGGCCATTTTGAAAAAAAATTTGAAAAATGGCCGCCATTTTTTACTATAACTCGAAAAGTAGTGGAGCGATTTTGTTCATATTTGGTATGTGAATACTATAAGCATGGCACACTGTCCTATGACACTTTTGGTAGAAGGCGGCCATTTTGAAAACAATTTTGAAAAATGGCCGCCATTTTAACGTATTTTACTATAACTCGAAAAGTAGTGGAGCGATTTTGTTCATATTTGGCATGTGAATACTATAAACATGGCACACTGTCTATTTCTAATAACGCTTTTGGTAGAAGGTAGCCATTTTAAAAATGGCCGCCATTTTAACGTATTTTACTATAACTCGAAAAGAAGTGGAGCGATTTTGTTAATATTTGACATGTGAATACTTTAAGCCTGGCACATAACAATATTTAAATGTGGCCTACTTTGTTGAAATATCACTTTTTGCGTATGTCCGAAAATATTACATGTACATCACAATTTGTTTGAAAATTTACTTGTACTTGTAGTTTGATTTTAGGTTAACTTAAATACTATTGACTTACAGTATTAACTTGATACTGTTCTTGATAGATGTCAAAATGATTGTATTGCTACTTTTGTTGAAAGCACCTTCTTATTTGAGCCAGTTACCCATGGCACTAGATTTATAAAGGGACATGTACTTTTTGCAAAATGGTATTTTTACATGTTTGTTTTCTCACCTTTCTAATGTTCTCTCCATATTTGTTTCCAGGGAGTGGTTTGAAGATGGACCCAATGCTAGTTCCTATCAATGAGACGCTGACAAAGTTTCGCCAAGTCAGGGACCAGAGTGACATCCAGCTCACCAAATGTATTGAAGAAAACATCATGGGAGTCAACTACTTCTACAAACCACCTATAAATCTCTTTACGTTGAATTTTCTACGTTCTGAGGAGGAAGTGGAATATCGTGATCATTATCTAGTAGATGTCCAAACTGTGAAGACAATTGCTTCACCAAGATTCAGCGCATTGTTTGATATGGCAATATCTTTTCTAGTCATGGTTATTATATCAGTGTGCTGTTTCATGATGTTCCACCCAACACCTCAATGGATTGCATTTTTCTGTGTCGGCATGATTCTGGAAATTGCTGTACTTATACCCCTTATTAGGAACATATTTATTGACAATAGCGAAGCAGAGTTTGGCAAAATCATGACATTTTTTACAAGCTGGTATCCACGTCATATCGTTGGTGTGGTCATAGCCTCGTTGCCGTCGGGAGCCGTTTACACAAACTTCTCATGTGAGTTGGATAATGATGCCGATAAGTTCTTTGCATATCTCATCGTGGTATCATTGTTGCATTTCTGCAACTTTTCCATGTTCTCATCATGGATGAAGTCAGGATTGGCAATTATTGCCGGAGCAGTGTTGCTGATTCTCCTCAGTGTTGGTATATGTGGTGAGATCAGCCCAGAGAATGCAATGACCACAGTTTCTATAGTGGTCTTCAATGAGCCATTCAACGCCAGCGAGTACAACAATACCTCCAGTACCACACCTTCTCCAGGCCTGTACTCCCGGGTGGGGCACCCAGTGCTCAGGTTTGAGATTATCCTGGATATGGTACTCATGCTTCTATTGGTCTGTTTCCTCAATCGTGAGTTTGAAATCGCGTACCGCTTGAGTTTCCATGGTGATGTTGAGGCAGCTGCCGACAAGCGACAAATGGAGGTTGAGAAGGACCAATGTGATTGGTTGCTTTTGAACATTATTCCTGAATACCTATCAGAAACTTTGAAGACCACATCCAAGTACTCCAAGAATCATCGTCAGGTTGGAGTTATATTTGCTAGCATCGTCAACTTTAGCGAATTCTATGAAGAGTCGTTCGAAGGTGGGAAGGAATACTATAGAGTCCTTAATGAACTGGTAGCAGATTTTGAAGATTTGTTTGATGAAGAAAGATTCAAAGATATTGAAAAAATCAAAACAATTGGCAGCTGTTTCATGGCAGCTGGGGGTCTGAATTCAGAATGCAGGGAACAAAACAAAAATGAGAAAGCGCATTTGTACGAATTGATGGACTTTTGCTTGGGCATGCTTGAGGTCATTCACCAGTTCAATGAGTCAATATTCAATTTTGATTTTGAGATGGCAATTGGGTTCAATGTCGGTGATGTGACTGCAGGTGTTATAGGTACTACAAAGCTGCATTATGATATTTGGGGGGACACTGTGAATATAGCCTCGAGGATGTACTCTACGGGCGCTAGGGGCAAGATTCAAGTCACAGAGGATACAAAAAATATCATGGAAGATGTATTTGAATTTGAATATCGTGGAGAAATCTTTGTTAAAGGAAAGGGTGACATGAAAACATATCTTTTAGTTAAAAAGAAGGATGGTGCCACATGGGACTGAGTGTCCCATGTATTTTCAGTATTTTCACTATATGGTCTCGGGACAGTTGCTAGAGACATCCATTGGACATATTGACCTTCAGTTACATAATCACCTTGAAAAATCAACCATTTGTAAATGTCCATTCACAATGGTATAATTCTTAGGTGGATGAAACCCAAATAGCTGGGCTTTATTCAATTTTTGAATGGCTTGTGAATATACCAAGGGTATTGATTAAAGTCCTGTCGTGAGGAAATATCCATTTTAAGCTGTGGTCTATGAGACATGCTTATGAAAATTGAAACGTGAATGCATATAAGTGGGCTTTATCGTAAATAAACCTGAATTTAACTTATGACTAACCAACTGACATTGGGTAAATCCCAGCTTTGAAGAAAAAGTCTATACCTTTCAAATATTGATACCTTTCATGATTTATTTGATGGTCAGTATAGTAATGATCAACCTGTGATGGTATTCACTCCCTGAAATAATCACATTCATTATTTTCTTTAGATCTTCCTCTCTGGTTTGATAACAGAATACGGTTTTTCCTGATGATACACTGCCAATCCCAAAGAGTACTATACAGCGCTTTTATGAAACAGTGCTGGACAGTACTATACATTGCTATTTTCTAAAACTCACTCTACTATACCTTGCACAAATAATACAAGTATAAGAGCTAGAAACTGGACCATTTCAAATGACAAAATTAGTCTTTGATAGATATTCAGTATGCTATTTGGTGTATGTTAACTATTGAACTGGAGAGTGGTCCACAAATCGAGAAACTCTTGACACCATTGGTGATGAAAGCATATGTCTGAACTATCAGAATAAATATACATATTCTATCACTTTATGACCAATCGTATACATACATATATATATACTGTATATGTACCCAGTTATTGCCAAATTCATGTATTATTCTTGTGGCAGTGGGAAGAGATTACATTCATATTTAACAGTCATTCTACGCAATATTCGTTACATATTATAAAGTTTTAAGGTGGTTTAGCATTTTTCAAGTTAGTGAATCAAATATTGATAAGTTATTTTGCTAAATGTTCAATATTAGCATGGTCTATGATAAAAGAGTATATAAAATGTAAATTGGCAAAAAAAATTATGTGCTTGCGCTCAAAACTTTTCAAAGTTTGCGGCCCATTTCTGACAATTTGGCCTAAAAAGGCCAAGTAATGCCCTAAAAGGCCCACCAATAATTGAGGCCCTACAAAAGTTTTGAGCCCAAATTTTTCTTTCTTGGCCCACCCCCTGGATCCGCCAGTGCGGGTGTGAAGGCAGTTGACCATATGCACAGTATGTATGTGCTATCAAGACCATTTTTATCATGTGTGGGTGAACAGTGTGTGTGCAGGGCAATGCTGTTCATACTTTCACATAGTTTATTAGACCATCTCTTTAATATTTGCTTCGTAATATCAATGTGTAGATACAATTCATTTTTCTGAATTTTTCGTCATTTTTGAAAATTAGGGTGATATGGCACTTTTGAATTCTATTCTCATATGTTCTGAAATAGTGAAATGCATACAGTATTGCATTATATTTAGCAGTTATGTCCCTATCATTGAATATATGCCTACGGTCTGTCACCAATATAGCCCGAGCTTGCGAGGGTTATATTACGACAGACCGAAGGCATATATTCAATGATACGGACATAACTGTTGTATTACATACTTTTATATCATGGCTATGTTATATCAATGATGCCACGTGTCTGTGTGCGAGTGAAAGTAGGAAGAAATGAAACATGATGTCCCGATGACGTCATAAGATTGTCATGGTAAAAGGTTTGGCGGCTATACAGGAATATATAGCCGACCTTCAGCTCCATTGACTTCAATACAAATGCTTCGCTGGGTATGTAATACATCTATATATATATGTATATTTGTATTTAGCAATTATTGTAAGTGGGCCATATTTATAATGACTTATATTCTTAGTATCATATAATAACTTTGAATTAAAAGCTAACGTTGTTAATATGGTGTAAATAAGTAAGTGTTGTGGTCATCACGATTTTAAATATTTGACGTAGAAATCCTTGATAACTAGTCCTGTGGATAGTTTGGTATCATAACCCTATGATACATGTCTCTATTTGTATATAATATTGATACATATAATATGTATATTGTATTGTTACATGTATATTATTTACTCTATTATCTTTATATATTGAATATATCTATCTTGTAGTTAAATGCACTTAATGAATATTGATATGTAGTTCACTCAAATGAGTATTGATGCATATAGTTCACTGAACATGCACATTGATACATGTAGTGCATTGCATGTATACTGCATATTGATACATGTAGTGCATTGTACATGCACAATGATACATGTAGTTCATTGTACATGACTATTCATACTAATGTAGTTGACTGTACATAATGCATGAAGTTCACTACACATGCATATTGATACTTGTAGTTCACTATACATGTATACTGACTATTGATACATGTAGTTCACTATACATGACTATTTATATATGTAGTTCACCGTACATGACTATTTATATATGTAGTTCACTGTACATGTACATTGATACATGCAGTTCACTGCATATGCATAAAAATACAGCACATAACTATCAACAAAACATTAACATGCAAAGTGTCAACACCTACCATTTGTTGCAGACCTTATTTGGTACAGACTCTGAACACCAAACTGTGGAGACAAAACACTGTCCACAACAAATTTGGAGACTATAACAATATGTCACAGATATTGTAATAGTCTCCATTTTTTGTGTATGGTGTTTGGTTCCAGAAGTCAGCGTTTGGAGTTTGGTGTCTGCAACAAATGGAAGGTGGTGACATTTTGCATGTTAATGCCTTGCTGATACATGTAGTTGACTGTACATGATTATTGATGTATATAGTTTAATTGAAATTTAGAAAAATTATAATCTGTATAGTTAAAAGTTGCCAGTGCAAATTATGTCACATCACAGGAAACTGAAACTACAGATCGACCAATCAAAATTGAGTATGTAGATTTAGGTACTAGCGATAGGGAGGTTAAAGTTGTTTTAAAGAATATGAATGTGTAAAGTTCTAGTTTCTTGGGGAGTACTTTCTCGAGGAACTATTGCAGTATTACATGTTCAAGTTTTCCCAAAAAGGTGTTACTTAACCTCAAACACTGATATATCGAAAGTAATAATTTTGTCAAGCAATTTGATAATGCCATTTATAATGTCTTCTATTCAACATGTATCACCATGAGCCTACTTTCTGTTTTTGAAGTAAAGGATGATGTTTCAAGTCATACTTTATGACTATTCCAACTGGTGCGTTAAAGTGCAACTTAGTGTATCATGCATTAACTTGCAACTTGACAGCATCATGATTGAACTTAGAGTATTTTAGATGACATGACAGGCCTTGTATCTTAGTGTTTGAAATAGTACATGTACAGTAGCATAGTTAGTTTTTTGTACATTATGATAATATTTAGAAAGGACGATTCTCGGTTTGGAGAACAGTCTCCTGGGCTTATAATTTTTTTAATGAAAAATATAGAAACATTACCCAAATTAAACTATGAATATTCAAAAGAGGACATTTAAATCTACAAGATGTAAAATTAACAAATTGGTCTAAAGCAGGGATAACGTTCAATTTGACCGATTCAATAAAATACAAGTCTCGATTTGGGGAAAGAAGTTCATCAGTGTACTGCGCTAATATTTTTTTGCGAAAAATCTAGAAATATTACCCAAATTAAATTATGACTATTCAAAAGAAGACATTCAAATCTATATTATGTAAAAAAAAAAGAAATTTGTCCGAAGCAGGGATAATGCTCATTTAGATTGATGAACTTCGTTCTCCAAACCGAGAATCGTCCTTTTGCCGCAATGTCTGCCCCTTTCATTGATGAAATATCTGTTGCTGTGATTGAAGCCTGAGAATTTATGTAATATGTACATACTGTAAACTCAGATATCAGGACAGGGTAGAGTGACTTGATGGATGAACTTGCTCTCGTTGGACATTTTGTATGGTAACCATAGTTAATATAACAAAATGTCAGTTATTGTGAATAATCGTTGTAAATTGTATTTGGGTAGCATGCTTCAGTATTATGAGCATATTGACAATATATTTATTCCTATCTATCTTTTAATATATACTTTAATATATACTTTGATACTTACTAATGAACTGAATGGGTTCATCTCCGTGATGATAAAATGTAATGGAGATTCTGATGTAAAGATCTTAGAATGGTGGTGCAAAAGAAAAGTCACAATGATTCTGCCTTAAGGAAGTCAGCCTGGTAAAATAGAAAAAATCTCACAATGGTTCTGTCTTAAGGAAGTCAGCATGGTAAAATAGAAAAAAAGTCACAATAATTCTGCCTTTAGGAAGTCGAATAGAAAACTCTTTCAACGAACTGTGCTGATTTGTTTATCTACATGTGCAAGACACTTCGACTTCATTAACAGTGAAAAATAGTATGTTTGTTACCATAGTAACTTATGTAGAAATCATACAAGGAACTGTATTTAATGTTTCATTCAAGTTGAGAGATATTTCCAGATTGGCTTTTGTATGGATTGTATGTATGGATGCACAAAATATAATGATATATGTGGACATTGTTGAACTTGAATAAATGAATATATTCACTCAGTTTTGTCTTCACTTGTTCCAATTACACTGTACAAACCAAACGCAATCCTTGGAGTTGTTATCCCAGTTGTCCTTCTTTGATCATGGAATAATTCAAATACTAATCAATATCCCAGATGCGAGTAGAAATAATCTTGATTTACGTCATTAAAAATTTGAAAATGTGACTTCTAGGTCGGGAGATTCCCCATAGACCCCATGGTGTAAAACCAAAAAAAAGTGAAGTATCTTTCCTTCTGTTGGGCAGATATTATTTTCTTTTACTGGACATATTTTAATTTGTATAACTATCAGATACATAAGGGTAATATGAAAAGTGAACCACTAAAACTGATGCATATTCAAGTTTAACAGAATTTTGTAATACCCTGCCATGTTAATTCCCCCGAATCAGCCACCTAGTGGTGAAACTGGTAACTACCTGCTCGCATCCGAGTAATTGTCTTGACAAATTACTGAACTGGTTACTTAACCAACAATGATCACCAAACAGTTTAAAAACTCCATTAATCTCATAATCCAGATAATGTTAACTCTTTGAAGTGATTGACTCAATAAAGGAGGGTTTTCAACTCCCATCATACAAAGACATTTTCTTACACCATGTCATCATTACTGATTGGTCAAAGACATATGAATGATGGTGAATTTGAACCAAATGAAAGTGGTGAGTGGTAAATAAAGTCAACTGTGAACTATGGCTTGTCTCCCCATCCTCTTGAACTGATAGGTACTGCTGACCATTTGATAATTATGTCACCACCAAAAAGTGGTGACATATTGTTAGGTCTCCATTTTTTCTGACA